TATAATGGGATTTTTTTAATGTAGTTAAATATGCTACTATTAGATGCATTTTTACACTTGTTGCCCAATTTAGTTGGGAACTTGGTCAGTTGGATGTTAAAACCACTTTCTTATGTGATGAATTGGATTAACTAATTTACATGAGACAAGCTTTAGGCTTTTGTTAAGGGTGATTGTGATAAAACTGTGTGTTTATTGAAAAAATAAATCCTTGTAAGTTTGAAATAAGCTCCAAGACAACAGTATAAATTTAAGATTTGACTTCTTTTTATTTTGAAACTTGATTTTTAGATAAGCGACTATGATATCTGCCTATATTGTAAGGTGTGGAGTTGTGTTTCTCAAACCACACTTTCATAAGTAAAAATGCATTTTTCTCCCACTTGTATTCCAATGGACAGCTGGCAGTTTGGCATTGATTAATAAATAGTCACTAGAGTTGTGCTTTCTCTTGGCAATTTGGACCGTTGATCTAATCCTATGGCTGAGATTTGGTCTCCCATAATTAATGCATAGAAGACCCCTTTGAGGGTTGGTGGAAGAAGTCAGACGGGTCACTCTCTCTTTTGAAGAAAATTGTCTCTTTGGTTTTTTCTCTCTCTAGCTCTCTCTCGCTCTGCTTCTTTTTTTCTTTTTAGATTTGAAGAACTTTGGTGATCTTTGTAATAATCTAGTAGTTATCTGATGATGGTAGAACATTGGTACAATGTTTTAGGCCTTGTGTGTGGCTTGTAAACCTGTATCGTGTTCTTGGCAAGGTTTTGTCTAGTCTTGTGGGCTAGGGATTGAGTTATTGAGAGATCTTTATGGATCGATGACCATATAGTGGGTCTGATTTGGTTTTCTCAATTGGTTGTACACTCTCTTGAAGGTTTCTTGCTAGTGACAGGCTTACCTCTAAACCTCCCAGATTTGGCCATGTTTGGCTGAACTGGGTGAACAATCTTTGTGTTCGATTTCTGTTCTTGCTTTATTTTTACTGTTTTTACAATTGCTTGTGGGTTTTGGGTCGATAATCCTAACAAATCAGGTATTAGAGCTCGATTTTCTAGGCATTTGCGTGACATACCTTGCCCTAAGGATATTCTGTGAATTGAGAAAAATAAACAGTCGCGCATATTCTTTTTCTGGATTTGCAGTATTCATTTTTTATTTCTTGAGATTTCATTTTCTGTCCAGATCTTAAAGCTTTGCATAGACATTTAAGGAGACTAATTTTCTGTTTAAGTGCGTAGGTTAAGAACTAAAGATTGGTTAGCTCTTGACCGGTTCTAGTTTTGGCAGGTGATAGGGTGATCTTTGAAACTCTTGTCATTGCATTGTTGTTCAACGGTGCTGTGGGTGAGATCTAACCATTGAAAGAACCTGTATAATTTTGGTGCACAAAAAATTGCATGTCTATTGTTCTGTGGATTAATTACTAACATTGTACATTGTGTATTGATAATTAATCTGACAATAGGAACATAATTAATCTGACAATAGGAACATGTTTAGGTATTATACAAAGTTCTTTATATCCGATGTGTAATTCTTTGAATTCTCAACACATTGTTTGCTTGTGCATATTGCTTTAGTTGGGTAGGTTTTTTTTTTTTTTTTTTTTTTTT